CGTGTGGTGCAAGCTGTGCGGTGCAATCTAGGCGGTAACATCTACAGTGCCGTTTTTACTGCATGCTCCGCGTGCGGATCATGTCTGAAACATGCAGGGATTCAGTATTGAAAACAGCGATGAGTGCATGCAGCAACTCATTCATAAATGGACCATGTATCAAAAATCCGATATGTTTAGACATCCCATGCATTACAAACTGCCCTGTAGGTGGCGCAATAGATGCGGCCGCCCAGCGCACGAGGCGCCCACGAGGCGCCCGCGGGCGGGCACCGAGCGAAGCCTCGGCACTCCCACCCACCCGGCGCACGAGACGGCCACCGGGCACCCACGGACGAGCCTCGGGCGAGAAACCTCCGAAGAAACACGAGGCGTCCACGAGGCGCCCCCGAGGCGCCCACGAGGAGCGCCCACGGGTGGGCACAAGTGAAGGGGGCCCAGGGACACACAAACGAATACACACAAATAACCAGATTCCCTATATTTTCACATATTTTCTGGGTTTCTGTCTTCCCCCTCACAGAGGATCAGTTGGTGGATAAATGTACTCAAATGGTCACATACAAGTCTTCTAAGATGTCAGACATCCTGGGTATTGTAAACAAAGAGTCGACACAGCAGAAAAACAAAGTCTGGAACGAATTGGCGCGAAAATTTGCTATCACGTTTATCACCACACTGCCAGTGATTTTCTGAAGCAGCATGAAAAGCAGGCATTGCGACTCGCCCAGAAAAAGGAAAAGGTAGAGAAGGCGAAGCAGCAGTTGCAGCACATGGACGGAAAGGAGGTGGCACTCCGGCTGTCCATGGAACATCATTTTGCGTTGCATTCGAAAGGAAAGCCCAAAGACGTGGCACACCCGAACAACATGACCTCGATCACCCAGATGCTGATCAAAGAGACCAACATTCAATGCAAATTGCCAAAAGACGTACGGCCCTCCGCGTCAGCACCACCGACTCCGTCGAAGGGGCGCGGAAAGGGCAAGACTAGCAGTGGCGGCAAATTGAACGACTGGCGACCTCCCAAAGGTGGCGGCAAAGGGCGGTCCGTTGGCAAAAGCTCGGCGGACACCTTTAAAGGCAAAGGCAGAGGCAAGAGTTACGGCAAGGACCGCGGCTACGGCAAGGGCAAGGGCAAGACGTCCACCTCCTACGACCAGAACGCCCTGAGCAGCTACGAGGGCTCGAAGGGTCGTGGGAGGGGCCGTGGACGAGGGAGAGGACGAGGCCGGGGCAAGGGCAAGGGCAAGGGCAAAGGCAGAGCCTGGCCCGAGGCATCTCTGGCCATCGACCTCGATACGAGCCAATCCACAGCGTGGAGCACTGCATACGAATCCTTCTACGGAAGCTTTCCGTTTCACATCTTCGCCATTGGGTTCAGGCCAGAGGGGTTTTCGATTTCGCAGGAGTCAGCCCTAGCATCATGACCTTCCTCGGCACCACTGGCGGTAAATTCACTATTAGCCCGACTTTTTCGGAATACCGTAGTAATACTGGTTGGAATCGGTTCGAAAGATCCGTCTTGGTCAACGCTTACTTCAAAATGCAAAATCAACTAGAAGATCCTGCGTCTGCCCAAGATACGAGTCTTCGTTTCCTCGAGCCCGCGTGGGACGACGACCGAGGCTTCGCAGATGATCGGCATCTCCTCGTCGGTTCACGGCGTCGCCGGCTACACGCCGACACATTTTCTGGTCGAGAGGCGAACCTGTTCAGAGCGATGGCTAAGAAGACTTGGATGCCAAAGCTACACAATGGTCAGGATTATGCTTATCCAGATGTCGTGAACGGATGGTTGAAAGATCTGAAAACAACAGTTTTTGATGCCATAGCGCCGTATCCACCGAACGACGGGGGCATCAGGTATCGCTCAAATGTACGAGATCACCGACCCCTGAGAGCCCTCCGAGAAAAGCCGCACCTTTTACATATTGGTCCCTCTGACAAGTTCCAGGCCTTGATCGTGCAGAACGTGTTCAAATAAATATTGGACATGAGAGCACATCTCGCCGACGAGACTTTCTACCAACCCCTCCTTGACCCTGATCACGAAAGAGCCGCCCCTACAGAATGGAATTACAGATTCGAACGTGTTGGGCCTTGGCTGAAAGACCACTCCGGCATACCAGGGATTTGGGCGCATCGCATCTTCTACTTCATTTTTGGTGGCTGGGCGACCCTCTTGCGGGATATCCAGACAGGCGTGACGCCTTTCTTCTACGCCAAGTTTCAAGGCACGTACAAGCTACACAAGCAGAAGGATATCGATATGAAGCGCATGCGCTCCCTGAAACAATACCCCACGGAGACGATACCGGTGCGACCCATTATTAATTCCGTGGGGGATTGGAGGAAACCCGCAGCGTTTTGGATAGCGCAGCTCCTGCAACCCATAGTGGAAGTACTACCTGGAGTTACTTGCAGCTCCAAACAGACCATCCATGCGTATGAGCGTCTTGAGGTTCCTCCGGAGTCGGTGCTGGTCGAGTTCGACATCAAATACTTCTTTCTGAAAATGAGCGTGGATTTCTGCGTCCAGGCAGCGTCGTGGGCAATTCATGTGTATGCTCCCCACGTCAACGGCCCTATCAAAGATCTGATCTTGTGCATCTTACATCATCGGTTGGACCATAATTATTCCAGATTCGACGGTTTGCCATTCCGCCAAGGACGCAGCGGGGCAATGGGATTAGCTTACGCCCCCCAGGTAGCAGCCATGAGCGCTTATTACTACGAACAGCATCGTGGCATCCAAGAGCACCCAGGCATCTTGACAAAATCGTGGTCGAGATACCTCGATGACAGATTGCTCGCATGGGTTGGTTCCGACAGGGAGCTGTGACGACTCGAAGCCCTCCTGAATACCCCATGCTGCATTCCGCTAGGTCAATGCCACTTTGTGTATAAATTCGCCACGTCCCGGTCTAAGGCTGTGTTTTTGGACCTCCAGTTTAGCAAAACTGGGAGGTGGGTCCATTCGGGGATCCTGGACTCTTCTCTGTACTGTAAGCCTAGCAACCCTCACGCGTACATCCCCCAGAGTAGCCATCATGCCCCTGCTTTGGCCATTTCGTGGATACGACAGGAAGCAAAACGTCGTATCACTCACAATGCCGATGCTTCGCGGGCCATGGCCGATTTAGCACAATTCGGCCAGCTAATTATATCCAGGGGCTACTCGGGACAACAGTGGCGCCGGGCCATTCGAGGGCTCGACCCTTCGAACCGTATGCTGTATCTAGGCTTGCACGCTCAGGTGGAGGCGCGGACTTCGGACACTGAGCAGGCACGTGTGCTTACATTAGTGCTCCCACACCACAGACAGGCGTGGAGTAGGGTGAAACAGTGCGTTTCCATCACAGCACACGTACAGAGACATCTTACGGCCCAGTCAGTCAGATTTGCTTGTACCAATAGCCGTACCATAATTTCACACATTCGCGGGTAGGTTGGTCGGGGAATGTGGTGGACCATATAAGCTTAAACATTACATAACCATTTTAGGGTTCATTTCCTGAAGACGCCGTGAAGGCAGAAAGCTTGTAGAACCCAAGCTGCTCAGAATATCCGTCATTGTACCCAGCAGCGCTTTGAAAGCAGAATTCTGGATATCACGATTTCTTGAGCAGCTCGATTTGTGCTTGAGCCAGGCTGTGTACTGAGCGCGAGCAAAAAGACGGGCAGGCGAAGGAGTGCAGTTGCAGATTGAATTCCTTATTATTATTATTATTATTATTATTATTCTTACTCTTATTATTATTATTATTATTATTATTCTTATTGAGGCGGCGCAATAGCTGCGGCCGCCCAGCGCACGAGGCGCCCACGAGGCGCCCACGAGGCGCCCGCGGGCGGGCATCGAGCGAAGCCTCGGCACGCCCACCCGGCGCACGAGACGGCCACCGGGCACCCACGGGCGAGCCTCGGGCGAGAAACCTCCGAAGAACCACGAGCCACCAGGCACCCACGGGCGAGCATCCGGCGACACCTCCGAAGAACAACCCAGCGCCCACGAGGCGCCGACGAAGCGCCCACGAGGAGCGCCCACGGGTGGGCACAAGTGAAGGGGCCCAGGGACACACAAATAAAAACACACAAATGACCAGATTCCCCATGTTTTCCCATATCTTCTGGGTTTCTGTTTTCCCCCCGCTTCCCATATTTTCCCATATTTTCTGGGGAATCGACGATTACTTGTGTCTGTGTGATTTTTCCCTCCTGAGCAAGGCGAAGCCACGGTACGCCCGCCCACCACGAAGCGCGCACCAACCGGGCTCCGGCCGGGAAGCTGGCACACCCAGGCCTGGCGAGAGCAAGCACTGGCTTGTGGAATGCTGACGTCGTGTGTGTGTGGGAGAGGGGCGGGGGGCCAACATGAGGTGCCCGGCGCCTCCTGTGGGCTCGCCACCCCTGGGTCCCAACGATGCACGGCCAGAACGATCCGTGCAACAGCATGCTGACACTCGTCCGCCCCTTCTCCTCCTTCTCCTCCTGCTCCCACATCTCCTCCGCGCTCCTGATCTGCATTGGCCCCATCCTGCTCCTGCCGCTGACCCTGCCGCTGCGTATGATCCCCACTCCTTTCTGAAAACCTTGGACCTGTATCGCCCGTGATGTCAGCTCCTGGCTGTCGCTCAGTTAACTGAAGGCCGACATTGGCGACGTCGCTTCGAGGGTCTCCGGAGTCACGATTGTGCGACCACCCCGATCCCCCCCCCCTCCTTCGCCTCAGCCATCCCCCTTCATCCTTCGCCTCCACATCTGCCTCCTCCTCCTCCTCTTCCTCCACCTCTTTGTTCTCCTCTTTCCCCCTCCTTCCTCCTGCCTCCCTCTTTCCCGTGCCCACCCCTCATCCTGGCTCTATCGTCCCCCTTCTCTCCCCGAATGGCCAAGGGCCGCGACGCTGGAATACTGCATTGACCTATCGTGTGCGCCTTCCACTCGCTCTGGTCGAACCATAGCCGTCGCGCTCTCGCGGTGGGAGGCATCCGCGGCGCCTTCTCAGCTGTGACCGTTAGCCGCTGGTAGGCGGCCACGGCCTGCGGAGCAGGACGGAGGTAACAGAAAGGAGGAGGCGAACAGGGGCACTAGATGTGGGCATATATGGATGGGGCTACACATGGCAAGCAAGGGTCCAATGCAGTACAGGTGCAGAACGATATGGGCACTCACGCGTGCAGATCTACTATCGCCCCCTCCCCCCCAACTGCGAATAATAATGAGAGGGCGGCGGGCTCGTCGGCACGCTGCGAGGCTTTGAGGAAACCCGCGGTCGGCGCAGTGTTTGTTGTTCGTCGCTGCTGGTGCTGTTATCTTTGCTGTTGCTCTTGGTGTTGGTGTTGTTGTTGGCGGTGGTGTTGCTGGCGTTGTTGTTGGCGTTGTTGTCGTTGCTGTGGTTGTTGTTTTTCTTATTCGCTGTTGCCGTTGCTGGTGCTGATGATAATCTCTCGTTCTTGACCGGTAATTATTGTTGCCCCCCCCCCACCCGTGCACATTGTGATTCTCAATTGGAGCGCCCCCGTGGGGCTCGCACCATGTTCTTTCATCTGGGAAGGTCATCGTGCTCAAACTGCGCTGTTGGAACCCGGCTAAACGACAACGGCTCACGCCTGATACTGCTTCCTCACACTGAATTCCGAACTGCGTTTTCGCGTGGGACTCCCCCACGATGAATGCAGGAATCGCGCTCTCGCAGGGGACCCCTCGACATGTATTCAAACGCCGCGCCCTCGACACTCAATAATCATGCTTTCGCTCTGGCAATTCTCACTGTTTACTTGGGAATCGCGTTATCGCTCGAATCTCCTCGCGATTCATGTAGGACACACGCTTCCGCAACCCGCCTGCTCGACCTAGCCGCGTGGGCCCGCCTCCACGACGCGCCCGCTGGGGTCTCCCGCCCGATCTGCCCGTCTGGTTCTGCCACGCGCTTTCTGCTCTTAGCCCCCATCCTGCTAATTTCTCTCGTGTTCCATCCCTCCCCCATCCCCTTCCATCCGTTTTCTGTTCCCCTGATTCAGGGGCTGCGCTAGCTTCGAATGAGAAATCCGGTAGAATTACCCCCAAGGAGGTAATTACGATCGAAGACGAAGAGGGCGGGTGGGGAGGGTTTGAACTATATGCGTTGAAAGGGGCGCGAGCAGATCGGATCGAACAGTTTTACCATTCATAATGTTGATGTTGCTGCTGTTGTGTTGATGCTCGTTTTCGTAATGCGGCGAGCCATACACACGCTGGGGCGCGTGCGCGCGCGAGGGAGTAAATTGGGAATGCAGCGGCGGGCAAAAGCAGCTGCGCGGAGCAAGCCTGCGAGCTCGGTTAAGGCCGCGGCGAGGACCTCTGCCAAGAGTGGGCGCGGGATGGGAAGGGGCGGGCACCGCGTGGCTGTCGCGATGCGTGGCATGGGGGAGACACTGACAGGACATTTCATCACATTGCCCAATGTTACGGGCTTCTTGAAGAGTACTCGGGCGCGGCTCCATCCTGGCGTCGTTCTACGCGATGCGGTTAAAACAACAAACATGAAAAATTGCACTCGGCGCATCAATTTCACGTTGGAAATGAACTTGGCCCTGAGCGAACGCGAAAGAATGTCGCCACGAGGCTGCCAACCAATGGCCAGCGCACCGACAGGGACGCACCTTTCACACACACACACAGCGCCCAACACGACATGAAGCCAACGCGTGCTGAGTTGGAGCGTCGGAAGGCATGGGGCTCGAGATGCAACTGGGCTTCCACGCTGCTATTGTGCGTTCTTCCTGTCGGCAATGCGGAGCTCGCCATGCGTGCGCCGCCGCGCGCGTGCGCCTTGAATTTGCAAGCGCAGCGCGCAAGTGGCAAACCCATGAGGACTTTGCCATCTAGAACTCGCGATGTAAGTGCCGCCGCACGCGCGCTGCATGAGACAACGCGGCGAACATGCGGGAAACGTCTGTCGGGTTTTGAATCAAAGCGGCGAGCTCAGGACGCGCGTGGGCCCCCAAATAAGCGCGGCCATGTTTCCACTTTGACGGCGCGGACCACTCCGTGCTATCGCCGCCGCGGAAGCGCGCCTTGCGCCCGGCCGTCGCGCGCCCATGCAAAGCTGCGCCAATGGTCATGCGGTCGCAATCCGGTCTCCAAGAAAGCGCAGTGATCCATCTTGTCGGCAACGCAGGGCTCGCCCTAAAAAGGTTTCGCGTCCGCTCGCGGACTGCGCGCGGCAGCAAGGTGCGCGCGAGGGGGCCGCGCGCTAAGTCGGCCCGAATTGCGCGCGCCAGTGTTTCGCGCAAATATCGCGGCCAATATTGCCATTCATGCTTTTGGACATTGCAAGGCTCGCCGCGCAAAATTCGTAGCGCTAACGCGCCGTGTAGCAGACGCCGCGATCGCCTGGTGAACACCGCATGTGGAACATGAGATCCAAGTGGCGCGCGCTGCAGAGTCGCGGGGGCTTCTGGCCCAACGCGGAGCTGCCTGCGCTTCGACAGTGCTCGGCGGAGAAAGCGCGTGCATAAGCGCATCGCGCGCGCAACCTGCCGGGCGCGCCACAACTGGGGCAAGCGAGACGCAGCGCGAACTTCCAACTGGGACATGCCAATACGCAGGAAACAACGCTAGGTGCACGCAACGTCGCTAGATCAAACCAGCAACGCGCTTAAGTTCATGCTCTTGAACAGCGCGAGAAACATGCAACGGGCGCACTGATCACTAGCTATTTCAAATGCAATCATACAGATCATACAGGAACACTACGTTTGCCTGGACCCTCGGGGCGCGATGACCAAGCCTGGGGCAAGTTTTTCCGAAACCTTGCATGGCCTAGTCGCTCACCGCCTCTTGATATATCTCGCCTCCCGCTGCGCCATCCAAATCTTCTCCTCCGCATCCACCTCCTCCCTCTTCGGCGGCCAGCTCATCAATCCCACTCCTGAGTCTACCTGGACTGACCCGAGCTTGGGCTTGACGGCTGCTTCGCTTGTCTGTTCCACTGCATGCTGCTGCGCCGTTCTGATCAGGGCAATTCGCCTGGCGATAGTTCCTGGATGGGCTGGCGCGGGTTTGTGGCGCGCCCGAGAAAGATGCGGCGGGGCCCCCAGCGGGCCCTGTTTCCTGCTTCTTCAACTGCTTTCTAGCTTCTTATTTTGCTCATGTTGAAGGGCGGGGGGTGGGGGCGCGAGCCGCGCCGGACCTGCCAGTTGGCCTCCAAGATGTTGCCAAATCAGGGGGCGAAGGCCCCTTTGTTTCAAGAGGGCCGGCGCCGCGCGTGTATCCCGATATGCAAAGCTTCGCCCCTATACTTCCCAGCGGCTTTTGTAAACTTATGCAGGTGCCAGAACGCTGCAATGATTGCGCCACCTTCCATCGAGACAAAATGTTGCTCTAGAACCAATATACAATCCAACGCGCCCCGACAACTGTCGGGTCCAAGCGACTTCCGGCTCCGTCCTTTTGCACATCGAGAAAGCGAGCGCTCCTTCTCAACTCGGGCGGCAACCTGCGTCATACTGGGAATATGCGGCGCAATATCTCATCAGAGTGGCAGACAACTCGTCTTTGCCGATATCAATGAAAGAGGTTTTGTTGTCCATGCAATGGTTGCAAATTGCGTCAGCTAGACTGTTGTACTCGGGCGGTCTCCATGCGATGAGCGGTCAGAAACAGTAGCGGCAAGTGAACCCAACGTCCAAGATGGACAAAACGTCGTTCATCGCAGGCTTGACCAAACCATCTCAGTTGTCGCTGTTGTTCTGCGACTGCCATGACATGATGTCAGCAATGATCTGGGTATCCACAGCCACCTCAACTTGCTTGCAATCTTTGCCCCAAACTGTATCCAACTCATGCAGAGGAAGCAGACACTCGATGTCTGGCACAGGATCCTTGGGCGTAGCAGCGCCAGAAACACGCGGCAGCATGCCATCATAACGCGATTCTTCAAACTTCCGCTTCGCCAGCGCGAGCTCCGCGAAGTCCGTCTGGGTTGGCCGCCATCCGGACTTTGTCACTCCACTCTTCTGCTACCTCCACTGCGGGCCATGAGACTACGCGAACCTATGTTCAAACTGCCGTCGTAACCCTGGCCGCGCTTGAACTGCGCCGTCATCCAGCCTCTGTCTCTCAGCCCCTGCTTTGGCGAGCGGCCGCCGTGCCTGGCCCGTGGCCCCACGGACGGCGGCCAAGAAAAGTCCCGGAAGGCATGGCCATTCACGGCCGCGAACGCCCTCCTCGGCAGAGAAAGGGTGCTGCACTTTCGGTTCCACTCCCTCGCGCGTCGGGATGTTCTTTCGGAGTGCTGGCTGCTTCTTTCGTTCGGCGCCCGTCGCAGTCGCGATGCCGAGCTCGGTATCCCCCGCACACCTCAGAGCATCTTCGGGTAAAGGCTCAGACATTGGCAGTATACGCCTGCGGCGTACACAGCCGAAACTCGACACGTCCAGCGCCATGCGCCCAATGTCGCGCTGACCCCGCCAGGGCGTTTAAGACAGCGCTGATTGGTATAATCGATCGCCTCTGCCTTGGTTAACCGATGGTTGAAGCAGTGCTGGGTCGACGCTGTCTTGTCGATGGACACGCCCAGCGGATTGGCGACATCACTGGTCTGGTACTGCACCATGGTCCCGTTGATTTGAGGAAGTATCCCCGGCGACTGATCGGCAGCAGAGCCCGCAGTAAACACTACGAGCGAGGAGGGTTTCCACTGCCAGCGTGGCCTGCCGATGAAGTCCGTCAACTCGGCAACCATGCGTTGAAGCGTCGCGATTGATTCGACGAAAAGCCACACGTTGTCTGCAACTTTCACAAGGGATAAACACAAACAATAACTTTCGCATAGCGTGAATTCTTTGCGAGCCTCCTGCCACCTATGATGTAGAGGGCGTGATGCACGATCACATGTCAGATTGAAGTTGGCACCTGCGTCAACGCGGCCCTTCCCACAAGCCCTCTGCAAATTAAGCGGCCAAGTGCGGCCCACATCCAGTATCTCCATGACCCCGCTGAGGTCGAAAAAATCATGCATGACTGCGCGAACGAAGGCCACGTTCACTCCAGCATC